AACCAACAAATGTACAAATAAAAAAAAATGTCTAGGGAATACATACACAATATTGTTGTACTCACACATGAACAACCAGTACAGAATGTCTAGGGCATATGTACACAATATTGTCATACTCACACATGAACAACCAGTACAGAATCAGCGCTAAACATTAATATATAAGTGTAGTAGACATCAATACAGCTTGAAAAGATCATAAAGAGCTTAAAAATACAGGTTTTTTGTTTGTGGGTTTTTTGGGTTTTTTTTTGGTGGCTTGATGCTTTGTCTAGTATTTCAGTTCTAAGGGAGTAAAAAATTTGATTTTCATGGTGTTTCCCTGCCATGGTCTCACTTGTCTGGTCACAGTTGCTGAGGACAGAGCTGTAGAGCTCGTTTAGTTGGCAGTATTCAAGAAGGAAGTGTTAAATTAAAATATTTATTTAGGAAGAATCTTTGAAGTTTGATTTCATTGCCTGTTAGGTTTCCCATTTAAGAATAAATTGCTTAGCCGTGTTCAGCTTAGCTATGATCAGGTGTTGTTGTAGTTTTTATTTTTATTTTACCAGTAATAGTGACCTTGGTTAACAGTGATCGCAGGAACATTTTTTTTAATATATACACATAGTTCACACTGAAGAATCTAAACCCGAAAGCTGGTATTTCTTGCTCGCATAAGCTCTTGGGACATGCTCCTGTCCCACTTAAAGATGGAGAGCTCATTATACTGATTAAATACCTGCAGGAACAGGTTGAAGAGGGTAACTCTTACTGTTCCTCTTAAGTTGACCCCAAGTAACCAATTCAAAGCTAGCAAGGCTGGCAACCATAAAAGAAAACAAACAAACAAAGAAAAATCTTCTTTTAAGGCAATAGATTCCCATTAACTTGAATGGGCATTGCATTCTAAGAAACATTTCTTCTAAGAAACATGATCATCTTTAAAGGTGCCATTAAATTAAGTGCATGCAATTCATTATTCCATTTATTAATGCAATAAACAATGCAATAAATCCAAGTAAAATATAAAGAGGTCCATTCTTTCCTTCTCTCCAAGACTTTAAAATGTAATCACTTGCTCTCTTGCAGGCAGAACTGAAAGAAATTAAAAGCTTAAATGTAAAGAGAAAGGGTGAAAGAAAAAAAAAAAAGAGAGAGAGAGAAAAAAAAAAGAGTGTGTGTTACCACCTACAGCTTGAAAATTCCAGGGGACAGGAATGCTCATCCATGGGAAAGTTATGAAGCTGAAGATAACATTCAGCATTAATTGTCAGCCTAATTGAGGGAAAAAAAAAATCAAACATGAGACATTTCAGACTAGCAAATAAAAAAAACATGCACAGAAATCAGTTTTGCCAATTAATGCACACTCTACCTAGCCAACTTTGTATCTGCAAAAACATCTCAGCATCACCTCCAGAGAACAAAACTGTCGGCAAAAGCAGTCTGAGGACCTGAGGGGTTTATCAGTACATGTAGCAACTCCTAGGGTTTCAGCTGAACTGGGAGAACCTCTCAGCTCTTCATGAGAAAAAAAGGTATGGGTAAAAGGGATGGATAAAAGGGTTGGATTGAGGATAGGGCAGGGAAGGGAAGGGAGTGCAGGACAGCCCATTAAGGAAGCCACTGAAAAATGCATTTATCAAGTCAAATGGCATTTGATGTCACTGTATCTGATGGCAATATCCTGTATGGTGAATGCGGGACCACAGGTCTGCTCTCTGCCCATGGAAGTAGCTCTGATGAAAACAGCAGCAGAGATGGGAAACAATTGGCTTGGTATTTCTATTTATTCAAAATCTAAGGCACTCAAACAATGCAGGTAGCTACTGAGTACATTTTCAGTCCTGAACTCCTAATGATATTTGAATAACTGAACCACTTGCTGCTTTTTAAAATACTATCCTGAATTTCCAAAGATTTTCCAAGCATCAAATGAGAAGCCCAGCTCATGCTAACTTTCCCTGGGAGGCTGCAGTAAGGGGCTGGACAACACTTAAATGCCATTTTTGTATTTAGAATAGTTCCTCCTTTGTATTAACTTTCGCTAGAAGGCTGCAGTAAGGGGCTTGACAATGCTTAAATGCCATCTTTGTATTTAGAATAGTTCCTCCTTTGTGGGCAGCATGGTGAAGAACGCTGAATTTCTTCTAAATCTGAAAAAATAATATCACACTTATTTACTACACTTAGATGGAGGGATGAAGACATGAGGACTTTCCTGAAGGCCCTGCGAGCTTGTGAACAAAGTGATTATTTTATACAAAGCCTCATGAGGACCTTCCTGGAAATCTGACCTGACCAAGAGAGAGGCAGAAGTATTTATAGAGGAAAGTAAATTAAATGAAATTTCTTGCCATATCCCGGAAAAGAATATGTCATATTTCAAACTGAAAGACTTTCATAGCTCTAGTGACACTTTTCAAATGTGCCTATCACAATATATGTATTTATTGCCTTGGATTTCTATTTAAAAAAAGGCAGACAGCAATACAACTAGTTCTGGAATCACTGGCGCATACAACAGAAAGACCAAGAGCCAGAGAACCAACAGCAGGGTCAGTTTCTTCTAGCATTCCTTTTATCACCAACATATGAACCTCTCTTCTCCATGTTATTCCACCTTAGGTCAAGTTCAGGCAATCTCCTTGTTCTATAGAGATGTTTGCACATGGCAGTGATGGGTTCTACCGAGTTCTGCTATTTATCAGGAGCCCATTGCACTTCATAGCTCATATATTAGCATTATAATTCTACCCTCTCACTAGGGGAGACCTCACATAAATAGTTTTCATGTAGATGCTATTATGAAAAAAAATTATCTTGAAAACTGAACAGACAATGGAAAAGTAAAATCCAAGATGACCCTGGAACTGCTCAGCACAATAAATAAATGAGGAAACAGTATACAACACCACTAGTCCATATATGAAAACTATGCAAAGGACTAAAAAGAAAATAATTAAAAGATGCTTCTAAAAGCAAAAACAAACACTTAATCCTGTAAGTACGGAACTAGATTTATTGGATAGTATAGCCTTATCTTTTGAAAATATATTAAACACATTCCCAATTCTAAGGAAATATATAAAAATAGATAGTATATTTTTTAGTGCTCTGCATCATCTTACTGTCAGTGCCCATGTTTAGCATCCAGGGCTTTCTGATGAGTAGAAACTTTGTACAGGTGGCTGAATAAAGCCCTCCCCGAGGCTGTCGCTATACTTCTCTGCACCTAGATCGCCTGAACTACTTGGCAATTGACTAATTTACAGAACGATTTTGTAGACAATTTTCTGGAGTTAAAGAACAGCTTTGCTGATTTTAATGCCACAGTGTAAAGGTTGAGGTAAGCATGTGAAGAAGCACATGCAGAAATGGAGAAGAGAAGCCTCTTAAAAATATAATAAAGAGATGGACCAACACTGTGCTACTAGCTACATATTTTTTCTTTCTTGCCTGTACCTAAATAAGATAAAGATATGCTTTCTTTTCAACTGTATTTACTCTGTAACTGGACAATGTAATTCAATATTACGCATTTCACATTTTTCATGAACAAATTGTCATTATTTTTTCCCCAGCAAATTCCTTGTAAACTCATGCAGTCCACAACAACAACAAAAAAAGGGTCAGTGATTTTCTTTGTACTCTAAATTTTCATATATTCCTGGGCATAAAAATGTTATTGCTTTATCTAGTCAGTAAACACCCACCTTAAAGTGTATAATACTCGTCCATCACTCCAGATACGAAGCAAACGATTTGGAGTTGTAATCCAGTGAGCATCAGATTTTCTTGAGTTCCGAAAGAAAGTGTCTGGAATCCAAATTTTTCCAACCATATTGCTATTAAGCATAAGCACTTTCATTGAGCTGTTAAATTTTAGACGACTGTCATACCAAGTCTGGGCAAAAATTATATCTATGGTGTATTCCTAAAAATAGAGAAACAACCGTATCTATGTATGCATATACCAAAGTTTGCAAGCAAAGAGTTTTTATTTTGTATATAAATCAAGAGCCATCTCTTCTCTTTTGTATCATTTGAATAGCAGCCAAAAATCTCAGGCTGAGGAGTTACAGACTGATGAGTGGCACACAGACACTTCTGCCCCCACCTCTTGTTCTGACACTTCTGACATGAATTGATTATTTAAGGAAAGGCAGACCTGCTAGGACCTTTCTGTGACATGGAGGCCAGCACAAAGCAGAAGCACCTCTAGCAGACCTAGACAGAAGTAAAATAGCAAACTTAATATTTTTGCTAGGCTAGACTAAGTTTGTTAAGACAGAGGTTCTGTATCTTTTGAAAATCAAATTTTCTATATTTTTTCAGAACTTTACAACATGGAGTTAGAAAACTTTTTTAAAAAGGAAGAAAGCTACAATTACCTTCAACATTCCTGTCTTGTATTTTGACAAATATAGTGGAATTCATTCACTGGCCAAATTTTGTATTTGGAAAAATTCAAGCGAAATGCATCACAAATAAGCAAGCACCACAGTTTGTGGAGGTAACTGTTACAGTCTCCCACATATATTTATCTACTTACATACAAAAGGGTATATAATCATAATTGGAAAAGAAATTTCTTTAAAGAAATCCCACTTTACTTATTAGAGCTTCAAGAAAACACCTGTTCTGATAAAAAGCCAATGTCCGCTTTTATGACCAGAAAAGAAAGGTGACAAAACAAAACTAAAAACAAGGCCTTTTAATCAGAGAATTCTTGACACATTTACAGAAGGGAAAACTTGAGGGAAAGAAACATTGTGGATATACTGGAATATTGTTTTGCAAAGAACCTAAGCAGTTGCAGTTGGACTCCAGACAGAGGAGCAATCCCACCCCTTGCTTCTCTGTTGTGTTTGTCACAGGTCATGACTATGATTAGCACAACAACAATTTCACTACTTGGTGGCAGATGAGATCTTTCCTATGTGGCTGTCCTGTGAAAGCTCTTACAAATAACTTGGCGATTCTTCTCACAGCTCAGTTTGAAGGAGAAGTGCTGCAGACCACTCAGATAGCTTCACATTACCCACTGACTCATCACTTAATATTTTGAAAGTGCAAAGACAGATATCCCAGGACCACCTAAAACTCCCTCAATTTTCTCACACCTCCAGCAGAAAGAACAGGTTCAGGAAATAGGTAGGCAACAAGGAAGCTTGCCCCTTTTCTCTCCTGAACCGCAGCTGAATTATGATATGGACTATTCTGTTCTGCCTTCTGACTCCCAAAGATTATGAATAACTAGTGTATAACGCAAGCAGTGAAGGGGACAGAGGGAACAAAAAGACTACTCAAAATTTCATTTTTGAGATGACTTGGCTCTAAAACCCTGCTCACATTCCTTGAAAGGCCCCATCATCAACATAAGAAGGTTCTTCAGGTCAAAATAAGTCCTTGATTATTTTATTTCTGTAAACAACCTTCAAAACACCTGCGAAAATTCAGGGTCTTTTTATCCTTAAAAAAACTGCTCACTTAGAGTAATTCCATCCAGAAAATTGTTTTTCACTAGCGTAAATGAGTAAACAAGACAGTGTGAAGGAGACAGGTTTTTATGGCTCAAGTGGAACAGAATGAATAATAGTTGCCTTTATGGTACAAATAGGAAAAAAAAAATCAGTGAGTGAAACGAACAGGTACGACAATGTATGAAAAGAGCAGATTGTCTGAGTTTGAAGGTGCTACTCTATGCAGCCACTTCGCAGTACCTCGCCATTGCCTGAGAAAAAGAAATAGATCAAAGTGTCATCGCAGTCACACCACTCAGGATAAAACTGAGGTTGCCACATACACCCTAACAAATTAGGATAAGAAAGGAAGAGACGCTCCTACGTGATTTTGAAAGAAAAGAGGAAGGGGAGAGCCTCAGCAGGCCCAGATTCTTTCCTTCTCTTACCTTTCAGTATTAAATGTGCAAGGACTTACCATGACCACACTATAGAGTTGTTTAAACAACTTTATAGGCAAAAAAAAATAGGAAACTTTGTTAACATCATTTTTGAAACAGTTGCCACTGTTCAAGCAGAAACTACGTGCATAATAATTAATCACCACAAGATTAATAACAATGTTTCCACAAAATACCCAAGTACCAGCATCCTCCCAGATATCTGCTTGGGGTGATCCTCCATTTCTGAGCTGAGCAAATCTGAGTCTCTAAAATTTGCTGAAAATGAGGTAGAAAATCATCATGCTGAAGCAGTCAAGTACCTTTTCTAGAAGTACTTTATTTCCAAAACTAGATGAATAAGAGTGCTATTTTATTTTCAAAACTACACTAGGAAGCACAGTAGCACACCAGATTTACAAAATGTTCTTTTAGTGCCACTAATTTCTGAGGGGCTAATTTCTGATTTGTTTTTCCTTGTTGTTTTATAAAAAGTAAATTTAACAGTCTTATCTCGTTCTAATTTTTCAAGAAACTTCTCACTCTTCAACACCACTGTGTAACCACAAAAATTGGTTTGCTTCTCTCTTTCAAATGAAATTCATGATAAATAACAATACAAAATAAAACGAAATCCGCCTATGACCACATTAGTCACAGTCACAGGGAAACACATGCTTACTCATATTTAGCCTCCCAGGGCTCAATAAGCACTGCATACGTTAGCTCATACCTGGTATTTGATGAGACCACTGAACTCTCATGCAGCTGGCATAAAGAGCCCACCTGCCTAATTATTTACAGATAACTGCGCTCCTCCTCCGCCTCCTTCCTCTCTAAAAGATCATGACAAACTCAAAAGGCTGGGAATACAGTGACTAATCTGGGATTACCATTAAAGGGTCATGTAGTGAACGAACTGCAAATTTTGACAAGCAGACATATAGTGCCACAAAAAAAAATGCATTCAATAAATAAAAGCTACTACTTCAAATAAAGTAGGAATAGTTTTTGCATGAGAATAAACTGAATTCTCAAGATGGGTTTCACTGTCAGAAAAAAAAAAGTGTAGTTTGATCAGTCAGACATGAAAATGGGCCATGGGCCGTTAGACGTTTATATTGCAAAGCTGTTAAAAAGGGGAAAGTAGATAGCATTCTGCAAGATTATTTCTCAGTATAACTATAACTATACCAATTGCAAAATAACATCAATAGGGATGAAAGAAGATATATATATATATATATATATAAAAAAAAATCACACAAAGGAGAAAACTACTTGTTCTCGGATATTTTGTGTAGCAGCCTCTCAACTGATTTGATGTTCCACAGTAAAAGGTACAGAGAAGTCAAGTAATGAGCAACTGAATTGCTGGCTGGACCACGCTAATGGCTGCACATTTTGTGTTACAAAACATGAGAGGACAAAGCAGCTTTGTTTCCTGGGGGGCAAACACAAATACAATGATAGTTCCTAAAAATCAAAAGCCAAAATAGTAGCAGAAAGTTTGCATTGGTCAGCTACAGGCCTGCAATAGGGTTCAGTACAAACAAGAAAAGACACCCTCATCTCATTTCATCTTTGCTCAGAGATTTGTCCTAGCTTTTTTACCAGATTTAAAACTTCACCTGAATTACACCTGAAGTTTTCAGGAATGCAACAGGCTAATTTTGGAAAATTTCTCACAGAAAGCCCCTGAATTTGGTTCAACTTCTGATTGTAACATGATTTCTTCTTATTTCACCATCAGAGATCAATATTTTTTTCCAACTTTCTTCAATTTATTCAGTTTTCTGTTTCATTTTGTTAAACTGGAACTTAATGGAAGGCAACTTTTCATGAAAAATAAAAAAAGAAAAAGGAGTAAACTTCCTTTCTGCCAATCTCTGCTTTCTTCTTCTTTAAGGGAAATTAAACAAAGTGTTCTACCAACCTGTATGTTTCAACATGAAGAGATGAGATTTAATTTCAAAGGCTCTGTTTAATATGATCATTTAGAGGCTTAGGAGATTAAGATGGCCAAAGACAAAACTGGTATCAGTACAGTCTCCTAAGAGATAAGCACAGAATAAAGGAAGAAGTACTAGCTGATTAATCAGCATCTTCCCAGTATGACCTTTTCCCTCTCCCTCCCCAAAACCTCTGGACATCAATAAAGTGCTTTTAAGTATTAAAATGCTCTGCAATCTTTGATGTACAGCTGCTCTAGCAAACCTTCTTAAATGGGTTATTCTCCTTAGTGGGCTACTTTCAAGGCCCTTAAAAAAGACTTTTGAGGTGCTATAGACTCAAATACGGTTTTACCAAGGAATTATTCACATGGCTGAGACAGAAGCAAAAGTTAAATTTCTTGTTTTAGCAAGCCACTTGCTCACTCGCAGATCCAGGAGTGAGATCTAGAAAGATCCAGCAGATCACAATGATATCTACATCTAATATTAGACTAATGATACCACAGCTGTAGAAGAGGTGGGGGTTGCAGGAAATACACTGAACAGAAGTGCAGAGCATCTGCTCCCAGGGTCTTTTAACCAGTCAGATTGTTTTAATTGTACAGACAATCACACTGGAGGATTCTCGGAGAACATATGCACAGGGGAAGAGGAAATATAGCAAATTGCTTACAGAAGGTGAGGCAGTACAGAGACACCTACTTCGTCACTACATAGAAGAAATCTATCACTCTTAACAATTTGGCATCTGTGCTTATCCAGTCTTTATTTTGAACATACAAGGAAACAGATGCAAACAACAATATGAATAAGGACAAAATTTATTTAAAGGCCTTGTAGATTAGAAATTATAATAACAATCTTACCAACTAGTCAAAAGATAATCTAGAAAAGTAACTAAGGCAGCTTCTAAAAGAGCTCTGCTTTTATTTAATCAGCTTAGGTCTCTCTTGAAGAGATAAAAGCATGAGAAGAGAAAGTAGATGGTACACAGAGATGTACACCATCTATATATATCTAATCTATATTCATTCCCACACTGAAAACAGCACTTTTGTTTTGTTTTATAAAATAAAA